CGCGGCGACATGCAATACACCTCATTCTGAAAACGTTTATCTGGCTCGTTTAGCAGTTTGGGTGGACACGTGCTCCCAACTAGGGCAACTTTTCATCCTTGAGTTGATAATTATCATTTTCTACTTCCTCTCCATCTCTACAGCGTGGCGAAAAATTACGTGCGCCATAAAACTAACTATATTTTTTGCGCACAAAAATTTGAAAGCAATTCATTTTATAAAACATCGAACCATGACATTTTATAACTGCAAAAAAGATTTGGAGTAGCTGCCATCAGTTTTGATACAGGCCTCAATTTGTTTCTTCAGCGGGTCGATGGTACGTCGGCATATTTTAAAAATTTTAGGCAGCTCTTCTCAGAATCACCAAACTTTCCGCATTTCGATTCTTTAGCAGTTTTCCAAGAAAACCCCAAAGAGAGAAGTTTAATGGATCCTGAATTCGGGCTGTAAGCAGACCATGAATCCGTCGCCACAAAACAGCCGATACTGGTCTCGAAGAAGTGGATCGTTGTATTGGTCCATGGGCCCGAGCGCGTTCCTGTAGAAAGACAGAATTGTTATGATTCTACTTCCAGGGGGCAACAGCTTTCTCAAGGATCCCTTCTTGGTAGACCTTTCCATTGATTTCCGCGCTTTTCTCCAAAAACCTGTGAAGGAATGCCTGAAGCAGTCTCAAATCATCAAATTTCCAGGGAACGAAATTCATGAGGGTACTTTTCGTTTACGGATGTTCCTAACCATAAGAGCTTTTGGGAAAGCATTTAGGATGATTCCGAGTTTTGAGACACCTAACGGTGACTTCATTTGTGAAACCACAGGGCGTCGTAGGGCCGCCGCACCCCAAGAAAACCCCGCAACTTCTTGAATTTTTCCCTCCGATCTTGCTTTCCTTGAATGGAGGGAAACTGCCTGTTTGATATGTGATGACGTCCATTCTGCGCTTTATTTTCGGTGTCTTCTGAGCAAATTTCGGAAAGTTTGTTACTGTTCGGCACTTTTGTTCAAGCCCACATTATCTTTTTGGATCATTCCTCTTCTAATAGTTCTCCTCACACATCGGTGCAGGCAGTCCGTTCTCATTGTCTTGTGGGTTCTGTTTAGGAATAATCTTCCTCTTTCCTACTGTTTTTCAATTTTTTTGAACGGTTTGTAGAAGAGCTGTGAGCCTTGAGGGAATTTTTAGCTCTCCACCAGTAAAGCTGTTTTCCGCACAATCGCTTTCCAACTTGAACAGGTCTTTGTCAAAACTTGGAAAACAAATTTCATCGTCTGCAAACCAATAACCAGCAATAACAGATTGAAAAGAAAAAGCACACAGAAATGCCTCATACAATATTTGGAATGGCGCGAAATGTCGCGCACACGTAATTTTTCACCTGTCAGGGAGAGACATGCATGCCTTAAGAGATCAGCTATGATCAGCTGATCTGAGCACGGTAGGTCGAGGAGGAGGCGGTGGTTGTTGATCGTGGGTGGTCATGGGAGACCGCCTTGCCAGAGGCAACTGATTGGCGCGGGAAGGTCCCAATAAAAGGGGTCCGTGTTCCTTTGCAGTATCTCCAGTTCCAGTTCCAGAGCTCCGGTGTTCCAGAGCTCTGGTGTTCCTGAATCCAGCGTTCCAGTGTTCCGGTGGCATCTGTGTGGTGCCTTAGGTGTAGTTGGTTGTGAGCTGTACGGCCCGTAAGAAAGAGGGCCCAGGCTCAGAAGTAGCCTTTGTGGCGAGGTGACAAGAGCCTCAGTGGCTCAGTGGTTTGGCCTCAGTGGCCTGAGGAGAGGAGCCTTAGTGGCTCGGTGAATTGGCCTTAGTGGCCTGTTGGGAAGAGCCTTAGTGGCCTCGTTGGTTGAAAGAGCCTCCGTGGCTCAGAGGAGAGGGCCTTCGTGGCTCAGCGTAGAAAAGGGATTGCGCCCTGCACCTGCTGACCTCGGCTCAGTGGTTCCGGTCCCATCCATACTCCGCCTCCTGATCGCCCAGTGATCTTTATTCTTGTGTATTTATTGTTGATTTTTCTGATCTCAATAAAACTTCCTTTCTACTTGTCTCGATCACAGTTAGTAAGGGTCACTCCCACGTCGCAGCAGACGAATCCGTCTATTGTACTACACATCACCCTGTATACTATGGATTGAACAACTGAAATGAGTTAACGACGAGTCTTGAGAAAGAATAAAGGATAAAGGATAAAGCATTTGCCGTTGATCAATCCCTTTTTGGGATGCGGCACGCATTCTACTTCATTCGTAGTGGCGTTTGAATGCGATGTGGCCTATACAATGACTTGGGGGCCAGCCGATGTACAAGTCAGTGTTTTTATCCTCCCAGACAAGTCTGGTACCAATTAACCGACCCCGGAAGGATGGAAGGCTTGGTTGGCCACCCTTCCAGAGAACAGCTATCGAAAATGTTTTCAAAACTATTCCAAATACCTACTTTCTTGGATTAGGATAGGAAAATTGTTGCGAT